AAGCAGCTGGCCACACTGCCCATTTTGCTGTTTGGTTTGCTTCCAGAAAAGCCATCTTTCTTGTTTTGCCAGCACTGGTATTCAGAGCACATCATTCACATTTTACTGGAGGGCATCAGTCTGGCTCTGCAAGGCCCCACTCTCACTTGGCGACAGATGAAGGTCACTCACAAACATCAGTGCTCACCTCTGCAGCCATGCAGCTCTACCTTGGCACCTTCAGCCACTTCAGCTCAGCTGCCCCTTCAAGCAGACCCGGGGGTGCCTGGGGTTGCCCCATCCACCCATTCGCAGTTGGCCAAGTAGCTGACAGCACCCTTTCCCCTTTAGCTTTCAGAAGTGCAGACACTTTCTGCCAGCTGTACTTGGAAAACACCAATCAAGTTTTCTTCAGAGTATGGCTTTTCAACTGCAGGTAGCCAGGTTATTAAGGCCCAACAAGTTAGTGAAACTTACTAGCTGAGCTGTCCATCCTTGTAAGCGAGACTCACCTTCTCTCCTACAAAGTCACCAGAGAGAGCAGTCAGGGAAAGAAAAGTGCTTGAACAGCAACAAATTTGGAAAAAGTTGTTAATTGCATGTCTAAACATTCTTCAAGTATATATAAAGAGACAGCTGAAAAAATGGGATTGATAAGGTTTTATCCTCATCTGCTAAAGCATAGTTCTACCTCTTAGACATATACTGAGTAGTAAACCTTCTTTTAGGTGTTTTTTTGTTATTGGTTGCCCACACACAAAAAAAGTTTTAATGACTACATATTTCCTTTTGTTCATTTGTCCATATATTTGTCCATAACTTCTCTTTTAAGGTCATGATCTTCCAAACAAAAACAGCATACAATGAAGCATTTATAGATTATTGCTTAAAAAATAGAATAAAGCCTTCAACTGAAGTAATCTGTAGATTTGATAGTTCAAGTGGAACACAGGGAAACCTGTACCGTCTACTCCACTGGTTTCAAGAGCAACAGACCTATGGCAGAAAATTAAAGTTGAATGGATCAAGCACTTGTTGACTGCAGCCCATCAGAAAGCTAGAGGATGCATCTTTCAGATTCTGTATCCTTCAGAAGTGGTGCCTTTTTTTTCTTGAGCAAGAATGTAACAAATCCCTTCTCAAGCATCAAACAGGCTCAAATACAGTTTGCAAAAGCCTAAATTCAAAATACTTGAGAAAGAAATTTCCCTTGGTGCATTCACATAACTTTGACATTCTAAACAGAAAGCTTGAAATGAATTCTTAGGCAGCTTTCTCCTCAACATCATCCACAGGGACTGTTTACTCATTAAAATTCATCTCGTGACAAAAATCTATTTGGTTTCACACAGCCTTCACAGATTCATATTATAATAAACATTTAGACATTCAGACTGTGATATATTTTTGGAAAATCACAAAGAAAAGCTGGTATCCATTTGCTTGAATGCATGAGTATTTGGTTATGGAAAGCCATTCTGTTTCAGCCATCCAAATTTAATCCACATCACAGATTCATCAGAGCCCTTAGGAGTACACCTTTCAAAATTCCAGCTCTGAATCATTGTGTCAATATATAATTGTAGTGCTACACATATGACTAGTTTTATTCCCAGTCTCCAGTATACTAGCCTGCAGACACACTGATGTCAGTACCAACTCTCCTAACGTGCAAACCTAGAAATTCTTCTGCAGGTCCATTTCTCCAGGAATTTCCGCTATTCTAAGTTGGACTGATGCAGCCCTTTCTCCAAACACACTACCCATATACAGAAGGTCAATTATTTTTTCCTATTATGCTAGCTCAAACTGTAACTGAAATTATGGCTTAAGTCCTGATTGCATGGTTGAAGCTGAATCCCTTCCTCTGACCACCTGAGAGACAGATTTTGAATACTGGTTTCTTTCCCCAAAGACAACTGCTCTTCAGAATTATATAGAATTATATAGAAGATATAGTTCATTACAGAAATGAAGCTAAAGCTTCTCCAAAGCTGTTTTAAAGCAGCGCTTGATCTGCACTGCAAACAATGTCAGAACCGATGTTTTTCTTACCACTGAGTGTGAAATTTTTGCCTAGTGGAGGTTTGCTCTTTGGAACAATCTCCCCCAAGAATGAACCAGAAAACAAACATGACAAGATCTGTGTTGCCACTGCACACACGATATAAGTGTTGTATGATTAATAAAAGCTTTCAGTTACAAGAGACAAAATTATGTCTTCATGATTACATGCAGCAATTATGTCTGACTTCAAAGGAAATAGCATTACAGTAGCATTTCCAAAATACTTTTTTAAACTGCTTCAGGAAAGGTAAAAGGTTAAGACTTAAAGAAGCTGGACATTCACTTAACTGTTAGTATTTCCCAAAGCTTACAGTCCTTGAATTTCTGTAGAAATAAAATATCCTCAATACTTTTGTTTAGGAAGTATGTTATAGACATGTTCAGTACTACTTGTATGCTCAGACATTTTGGCCCTTAATATTTGAATAACTACTACATAATATTAAGCAATGATCCAGAAAGGCCTTTGCTCAGTGAAGCTCTGACCTCAATTTTAGCATCTGAGGACCAAAAAAACTTGACATACTGGTAGAGTTTCACATTTATGTAGACTTGATGATGTCTCAGCTCCTTGATTTAAATTTACAAAATATACTGGTTAACCAATTGAAAAGTAACCGAACCCAATGAAAACAGAGCTTCCTATTTCCTTCTGCCTGAAGAAGAGCAGAGGAAAACACTGACAGAAAAAGAGTATACCTTGAAGTGTAGCCAACATTTTAAAGTTTGGTATCAGTCTGTTGCCATTAAGCTCTTGTGGACTGTACAGCAACAGCTCGTGGTTTTAAGAATGCAGGCCCAGAAAGGGGCATGTTTCCAGCTCCAGGCCTCATCTCGCATGAGTGCAGTGTTTCTCCAAAGCAAAGATAATAACCCAGATGGAATCACTCAAAGAGATTTGAAGGGTATTGAAGGGACAGCAATGGGGCTGCCAAAAGGATGCACCTTACAGACGCCAGGCTTTCTTTTCTTGGGCAGGTTAAACAACATGTCCTTCCTTAAGCACCAGAGACTCAGACTGCATTTGCAGAAGTCTAAGTTCAAAACACCTGAAAAAGGTACTTCCCTTTGACCATTCAACTAACTCTGATCAAAAACACTGAAACTGATTCCACAGCAGCTGTCACCACAACATCATTCACAGGGACCGTTCATCTCATCACAGAAATAATCCATTTGGTTCCAAGCAGTCTTGCAGTAACACACTATATGCACAGATTTTCAGACATTTATAGCATGGCATACTTTTGGAAAAATCAGTCTGAGAGAAGAGTTTTATCTTTAACAAACCATCAGTAAAAAATGCTCAAGAATAACTAGTTTAAACTTTTAAGGAAGTATGTAAGTAACTTCTTGATCCTGAAAAATAAACATGGGTTTGACAGAGAAGAAACCATTACGCTGTGAATTTGAAGTCCACCATTGTATTCCTGTAATGCCTGATATATATCTTTTGTAACAGTGGATTCAGACATACTGCATTTTAAAGAACACAAGTCTGACCTGCAACATTTAGAAGTTATTCTTTGCTTCTTCACAGAAGCTTTACAAACAAATAAAATATCCCACCACATGTTACAAAATTCAAGTGGGAAAGCTGTTTTGCAAAAGCTGACAGAACACTGGACTCCAACCCTATCACAATCAAGTCACTCAATATACCTTGTCCACATATGTCCAGATAACAGTGTAACCATTTTTGTATTGTGCTAAAATGATAAATGAAAGAAGAAGAAGAAATTTATGAAGTATACAGATCACCTTCCCAAAACGTTTATTAGAAAGAATACAAATGAATGTTGTGCCTGTTGTCTAAATTAGCTCCAGGCTGCTGTCTGAACAAGGAGAGAAAACTCTTCGATTACACAGTTTCATATGGTTTTGTCATACTTAGCATATCCCTTTTAAGTGCATGTCTGATTGGGGAAAAAATACTACTAGGACTATCAGGCAAGTTGATAATTTATATGAAACTGATGCTGTTATTCTGACTCCTAATTGACAAAACAGTTGAAGTACTGTTAATGTATAGCCTTCTGCTGGCATTCAGATCAATATTGTCACCGTGCCAAGATTAGTACTACTTTTCTACACTAACCTAAAAATAGTTGCTATGCTTCAGTGAAAATCTGACTTTTCGTTTCAACTTTCCACATCTGCTAGCCCCACATTCTCTCTAATTTTAACTGAGATCACTAAATATTTCAGTCTGCTGTCAGAATAAGTGAGCAATAAGCCAACAACATTTCAGATTTGTAGAAATGCTGACACTTCATATATTAAACACTGCATGTTAAGTGCGTGAAATCAATTCCTTCTTCATCTTCCTCTGAGTAAGTGGAAAATATTCACTTATGTTTGTGATACACTCCATAAAAGCCATTTAGTTTGCTGTTTTTCAGTCTGCCATTTTCCCTAACGTTAGCCCAGGAGATAAATTCATTTCTACTTGGTTTACTTCTCAGATACTCCCCATCCCAGAAGCTCCACCAAGACGTGTGGTGGCATACCAGTGAAAAGTAGGGCACATCACTAAGTTGCACCGTAACCACCTCACCAACACCACCCCACCCGCAGCCACGCTGCTGTTTACTCACCCTTGTAGCAGCAGTAGCAATTTCCCAAACCTCTGCCTGGCAAATCCCTCCACCCCAAAAACACGGTATGACACAGTAGCACACCCACCCTTTTGATTCCACCTCTAATTAGCTATCAAGGCTGTTTTCTGTTTTGCTCAGGTTCAAAATACCTGGGCTAGAAGCGCAGGGAGCCCAACCAAGCCTTTACACAGAGGCAGCAGAGAGGCGGCAGTACCTCAGGGGCCCCCTTCTTCCCCCCTAAGGTCTGGCCCCCGCACCCGCCGCAGGAACCCTCCCGCTCCCCCCTCGAAGCCCTAACCGCCATCCTCTCCCTCAGGGCACGGCGGCAGCCCACCCCTTTACCCCCGGACTCACCATGGCGGCGGCGGCGGCGGCGAGGCCCCGTCGTCCTGACGACGCTGAGCCCCGAGGACGACGCCAGGTGCAACGGCCGCGCGCGCGCACCCCCTCCCTCCCTGCTCGTCGTCGCCGCCGCCGCCACCGCCTCCCCGACCTGGGGCGGGGCGGGGCCGCCGCCGCCAGTAGGAGCCCCCCACGTGACTGCCGCTGCCACCGCCCCTGCGCCCTGAGCCCGGGCCGCCCCGCCCTGGTGGCTTGCTCCTCCCTCCCCCTACAGGCCCAGGTGGCGGGCGGAGGGGGGCGCGAGATGGCGGGCGTTGCGGTGGATGGGGAGGGCGGGTGCCTCATGGGGTGAAATCCCATAGAAAATAGGAGAGGGAGGGTTGGTGCAGCTGTCTGGTAGCGCTGCTGGACATGTCCGCGCTGTCTGCTTTCCTCCAGGTGCCCCCTGCTCTTCCAGTTTGTGGGTTGGGATGTGAAATGGCTGCTGGAAACATGTTTGGTCCCAGGTGGTAAAGGTCCCAGGTGCGTGTTTGCTTACCTTGCAGCCACGTGCGTGGAAAGCTGAAGGTGATAACTGCAGTACAATCCACAAAGTCTCATCTGTCAGCCAAGTGCTTTAAAGTAATGCATGCGCTCAGTTGCCTCTATGAGCATTGCATAAAACCACTATCAGAGCCAAATTAATATTGTTAATAGCACTCTTACAGGTTACATCTGTTCAGCGGTCACAATACCACATACAAAATTGAGGAGATGGGCAAAATTGAGGAGAAAAACCTCTCCCAGCAGGTAATGTCTGATGTTGATGCAGTTCTGTTGAAACAGAAGTGGCCACGGTAGGAAAAACACAATTTTGCTGTTTGGAATGAAATGCATTAATTCCTTTAAAGATGAAACCTTCTGGTTTGATTAACAGTAAAAATGGTTTCTTATGAAAGAGTCCTTTCTCAGAACCCACAGGTAAACAGCCAGTACATGCACATACCATTTGTTGGCACTTCTCTGAATCAACTGTCTCACTCTCCAGATTTTGGAGAATGACCTGGTTCATGCATACATTTGGTCTGGTTTGTATAGGAGGGAAGAAAGCCTCAGAAATGTGAAATATGTATAAACAATTTGGGCATGTTCAGCTGAATTGCGGAAGGCCTAGACTAGCAGTTTCTAAATTCCATTGGTTCACATTCAAAAATAAATAAATAAATAAGATTATCACATGATTTCTTATATTTTTTTAGTTCAGTGTGAAATTCTGCACTCTGTTATAAAGATGGGGATAGATCATCCTATCACTGCAGTGAAAAGAAAGCAATTTTGGAATCAGAGTTGCAGCAACCTGAAGAAAAAAAAATATTTTACAAAAAATAAGTGGTATTGCAGGATAATATTATTTTTTTCTTAATGAAGAGGAGTTCAGAATAATTAGCCCAATAGGGATCTGTTTAAGGCAATATGAGAGGCAAATGTGGAGTGGACTTTCCATGGCCCAATATCAGTTCTTATTTGATAAAAAACATGGGAAGGAATGGAACAATACAGAATAAATTTGAACCAATATTTTTTGTATAAAAGGCTGTAAGAAAGAAAGTTCCATGTTTCATCCCTCAGGGAAGAGGAGGCAGCTGTGTCTTTGCCACCTGTGTATTTGCTTAAGATGTAGAAGGCTGAAATCTGTATCTTTTGATGGAGGCCAGCTAATGATAATATAATGCTTCACCTACTGACTTTCTGGACTGCTTTTTTCCTTCTTGTCTGTATCGTGGCACAACTTGAAAATTCAATCCAAGAAAAGCTCACTCAGAAAATCCTCTAGACAGCTTTCAGTTTTGACAAATAAGCAATCAGTTGTGGAAAGACTTCAGAGATGTGTATACAACGTGGTCTCTCTTCTCCATTTGCCATCTGTGGAATGTCTCAGTATACACATTTGAAGTGTTAAGAGAATATATCCATGCATAGTGTCCTGTTTTCAACTGAGCCACTGCGTGATGAACAAGGTTTTATTTAAAAATTCACATCCAGCTCTAACATTAGCATTCTTTTAAAATTATTAGATTTTTACTTTGCACTGGTCATTCTAGAATGACTGGTTAACTAAGTTATTACTGATACTTTCTGATATTTTTTAAGCTGCAAACCTACATTCAATAGCTTGACCTTTTAACTTAACTGTCTGAAGTTTCTCCTAATTGTTCTAGACTCTCATTGAATGCTGACCAAATTCTCTTCTTACCTTTTCAACAAACTTAAAAGAAATGAAAAACAGTTCAAGTACTTGTCAGAGAAAATGAGCAAGTGCCAGCTATAGAAGGGTGGGTTAGTGCGCAGAAATGAGTAAGATCTTGCAGAAAAGGGGGCCAGTTCTGGAAGTCGTTACTCTTCCTAAACAGCAGCTTTGAGGCCTCTGAGCTGTTATGTCCTGCATTAGGTCCTATGGCTCAGAAGAGACTTTCAGATTCCAGAAGGTCATTGCAGAGACTGAGTAGCCCAGTGTTGCAAACTCAGTTTTATTTCCAGATTCCTGCCTCTTCACTTATGCTTTCCCCAAATTCACTAGAAACCACTATGGGTTTCTCCATGCGTGTTGTTTCCCAACTTTGCCAGACTGCAGTAACAGAGTATTTAGAGTTCAGGAGGAAACTTGCCATACAGTAGTTTCCTCTGCAGTGGTCTTTTGATTGCTGGACTCCATTGCGTCTAGAAGTGCCTTGGTATTCTTTGCAGTGGCCTTGTGCCCACAATGCCCATCTCTGCAGAAATCTTTCCAGGAATTGTCCCTTATTAGCTGAAGGAATTGGGTTTGAAACTAGCTAATTATTTGACCTTACTTTACCTTTCCTTCTTTTCCCCCCCTCCCCCATCTCCCTTTATGCTAGTCAAATGAAAATAGGTTCTAGAGAATCACAGAATCACAGAACTGTAGGGTTGGAAGGGACCTTGAAAGATCATCGGGTCCACCCCCCCAGCAAAGCAGGTTCCTCAGAGCAGGCTGCCCAGGTAGGCGTCCAGACAGGCCTTGAATATCTCCAGAGAAGGAGACTCCACAACCTCCCTAGGCAGCCTGTTCCAATGCTCCGTCACCCTCACCATGAAGTTCTTTCACATGTCAGTGCAGAACTTCCTGTGTTCTAACTTGCAGCCGTTGCCCCTTGTCCTATCCCCACAAACCACTGAGAAGAGGTTGGCTACATCCTTCTGTGAGAAACACTCCATAGCCAATAACTTAGGCTCAGGCGAGGATCTCAGTGAAGTAGTAATTTATTTGCGATTGCAATGGCGGGCACCCCACAAGCAGGAGAGAGTGCATCTACTAGTTCCAAAACACAGTTTATATACTTTTTGATGACAGGACCCTCCCCTGTTTCCCCACTGAGTGGGTAATCCAGGTTCACAATCTATCCAATGCTTCACAAACAATGCATGGCCTTCAGTAGCCGGCCTGGTAAATTTCAAATTTCTTTTGACATTTTTACTGCTTGAAGTGGTAATGTTTCTTCACTTATCTGACTTGACACCGTGATTTTCACCTAATTGTCCTAAGGAGTCTGGTTGTCTGCATTTTACCAGGTCGCCTGCTAAGCTTTCTTATCACTGTAAGCATATCTCAGTACGACATTCCCTCCTTCTAAACAATGTAACTCTGCAAAAACAACATTTCTATTCCTACAGTTCCCCCCTTTTCTTTTTTTATAAACTGTTGATTTTTGCAAAACCTTTCTCTAAGGTGTAATTTGGTAGATTTCTTCTTCTTCTTTGCTTTCTATCTCCTCATTATCACCTTATCTGAGTAAGGTGGTAGCTCCATGGTCATTTGTTTCAATAGTTCGGTTTCAGTTAACCACTGTACTAGTCCTCTTACACAGGGGATAATGCAGCAACCAATGGCTGTCAAAACTCCTGCAACTACGATCAAGGATGTAAATATGCCTACTTTTTCTGCCAATTCACTGGCAAGGGTGGTAAACCCTTACAATGCTCTAGTTACTGAGCCATCTGGGACAGTATTGTTAGGTATAAGAGTGCAACAATGGTTGCTCTGTATCACACACACACACACACACCTCCTTCCTCCACGGGCGTCATATCTAATGCTATCCCTGTTTTCCCAAGCCATTTTCCTGGTGGCATCTAGTTGTTCAGCGATTCCTCTCATCGCATCCCTAGTGTTATTGATGAATCTCTGCTGATTATAAAAGATATAATTAATCCAATCCACATTTTTATTGATTGTTACCCACCAGAACAGTGACTCAAACCCTACAGCAATTTGGTTTCTGGCTTTATGTTCATCCGGAACTCCTCTAGGTACCCCAATAGAATCTATGTATACTCTACCATCAAATGATATTCCTAAGCCTCTTTTACTTCTTCTGGGTATTTGTGATGTTTCTCTCTCAAATGCCAGGGTGAAGGGTATAGCTAATTGAACAAGTGCACAAGTGCCTTCCCAATTAGATGGTAGGGTGGACCGTAAGATCTTCCCTCCACCATACCACCAGAGATCTGCCCTGGAGATCTCTAGTCTTGAGCAGTTTCCCATCAAGTCCTTGGTAGCACAAGGCAAATTCTCCCAGATGCTGGGTAGCACTCACACCCTGCTGTGAAAGGCAAGCTGTATGGTTACCTATAGCTGTAGAGAATGCAGGGGGAACCGCGATATTGCTATCATGCAAGGAACAGCAAAAAGAGACTTACAGGCCTCATTTCCCCAGGCAGTCTTTTCTTGGTACAATGCAATCATACATCGCATCCCTTGGGAGTCTTCAGTCCACCCCCATGGGAAGGGCACTATCTGGGCATTTGGTCATCCCGAGGCACAAGCATAGCAGTTGCTACGGTTGAGACTCTGGACAGTATATTTGACCCATTCTATCCAGGCATTCACATCCCAATACCTTGTTTGAACTGACACATTTCAGAGGGCCTCCTGTTTTCTCTCCTGTTTTCTCCTTGAGTTTCTCCCTTTCTCTGATTGCAATAGAGGATTGTTTCCATACAGCTATTCTCAATCTGGCTGTTGGGTCTCTCCCAGTTATTTGTTCTCTCTGTTCAATTGTCGTTGGGCATTTAAATCTCCACAAGCTAACACCTCACAAGCATCAAACGTGACAGATTGTGGTATATAACCCTGTCACAGTCACCCATATTTTGATGGGGTATCCCGTTTTTGCTATTATCTGGTCATGCCTTTTCCAAGTTGCCAATTGACCGAGGCCTTCTCTGAGGCCTAGAATCACTAAAAACAAAATTAGTAATCGATTTTTCCCTGTCATTATTTTTAAACCTTAGGTTTCCAAATAATTATCAATACAAAGAATAAGATGTACACTACTACTATAACAACCCCCCCCACCTTGGGA